CTACGCCTCTGTTTACTTCATTAGCATGGAAATGCCTATGCATTTCACTCATTTACATACCTTTCTGCTAAGAGCGCATGTCTAAGACCTTGACTTTACTTCTTCGGTCAGTGGGTGGACTGCAGCCAAACCCTGAAAGCTTCTTCACCAATTACAATTCACCTGTTTGCATATGTTCATTTCAGATTCTGCTACCAATTACGTGTTGTTTTTTCACATTTCAGTCTGTTTTTCAGTCCCACGTTGTACCATCTTCCACATTCCTAAAGCTTCGATTCATTCACAGCACACAGACTCACTTGATGCTTTTTTCAGAAAAATGGTTAACACAGTTAAGATGGTTACTTAGCATAAACAAATGGCTGGCTTAGATATCATTCTGTCTTGTGGTTAGCAGCTTTTGCTAGGCCACAGGTAAAGCCTTTATTCAGCTGCAAATCCAGTGGTCCCCAAGATCCAAATATAGTCACCTTAACAGTTTCTACATCAAAGTGGATCATAAGCTGGAAGCTTTTATACTCACACATTTTGCTACAAATAATTCCAAATGATACTAAACTTGTAACACAAAACATCCATGCCCGCACTGGGTGGAAAGCACTAATGTGAAGTGGCTCAGGTCTGGTTTGGCCTGTCACTGAAGACGTGCTGCTCTTGTTCTGAAAACCTCTCCAATTCAGAATGGTGGTCACTCTGCATGTCACATGAATCAGCTGGTCACTTGTTTGGCCGAATGGAGAATGGATCTGTCAGATCCATGGAAGGTGGCAAGAAGCAGAGTAAGGTCCATTGATTGCTAAGCATGTTGGATGAATCAGAGAGAGGTTCAAGGCCATGTAGGAAGGCAATACACACATGTAGAAAGCCATCATTCAAGTTTCATCCCATGTTCCTGACAATACACCCCAGCCCCGAATTACAATACTTCCTGATCTAGGCATGGGCTCCTGCAACAACAAGGCTCTCTCTTCCTGCCAAAGCCAGGGCTGTGGATCAATGTTAAACAAGATGAATAATTTCTGTTGGGTTTGGGATACAGCTAGAGACCCCTCCAGGGCTGAAAGGGCTGGTAGAGGAAAGCTTCAGGTTTACCAGAAGCCATTAGTGATTTTGAGTGTGCAGCCTGAAACTATAATGAATCCAAATGTTAACAATGGGAGATGCTATGTATTTTTACTGAAAAAAAAAATCAAGGTCCTAAAATGTCACTAAATTGGCCACCTGAATGCTGAGGCACCCAACATCACATTAAACAATTAAAGCCCTAAACCTCTGCTCCAGCTTTACTTTGAAACTATTATTCAAGACAGCTCACCAGGTGCATGGGGCAGCGGTAAAGGTGGGTGTGTGGTTTTCCTGTAGCTCTCTGAAATAAAAACTCCATGTTCATTGATGATTTAACAGCTGAAATGTTGATCTCATAGTAGTGACTGCCAAAATGAGTGCATTTTTGTTTTAAGTATAGACTGAGTATTTCAAGAAGGGATTCATTTTAAGACACTTCAAGGAATTTCTTGCAGCACTTCATTTTATTAGCCACTACTGTACATATTTATATAGCTTTATATATGACCATTTTTTAAGAATCCAGGACCCAAGCATCTATGCTCCTCACAAACGTTGGCTCCTGTGAGATGGGAAAGTTGTTATCCTGATTCTACAGATGCAAAACAAACACATCACGACATTTTGTTGATCACAATCACAGGAAATTGATGGAAAGGCCAGAAAGAGAAACAAGAGCCTTGACTCCCATTCTCCTACTCTGATGTCAATAATCTGATGGATGAATGTTTTAAAAGCCAACTGTCACCACCTTTTTATGCAAGCAAAAAACATTTGTGGGCTCCATTTGACTGTTCAGAAGGTGTAGAATTGAATGCTCCCCATTTCAATCAGATATCACTGAAAGTAATGGAGCACGCGATAAAGTACGAGATAAAACCTCAAGTTAGCTCTCAATGATTGCTCAGTGACTTTGCTACAATTTAAGATCATGTAAAAAAAACCCAAACCTCAGCATTTTATCACAATAACATGAGCAATAACACATGTGCTATTTAGAGTAATTTTAGGAATGAATAATTTTGAAATTATTAATGTGATGCTCTGATTTTTTAAAACAAATCTGAAAATGAGCCCATTTTATATATTTTACAACCCCTCTAATGCCTCCATGGAGTTACAGTAACCCACGAAAGAATTACCATACTTCTTATATATTAAAGTTGAATTATGCAGAAAAATGTAAGCTCAGAAGCTGGTCGAAGGACATTAGAGTCAGACTATATGCAATGTCTTAAACTGAATTTCTCTTTATCTTACAGAGCTGCTGCCAGGACATACTTTCAGAGGAGATTTTAAAGGGATAGGCCTGATTCAGGCATATGCTTAAGCATATTTAAGCACACACCAAGACTCAAATTACCTTGTTGAGGTAAGGGCATATCAAGTAAACTCCGATTCATGCTTTTATCTTTAGGTTGCACACTGTGGAGACTCCAAAGGGTTTTTTTTTGCTACATATCCTGTTCTGCACTGAAGACAATTTCTATCCTGATTTTGATCATGTCCTACTTAGTCATAGCCTCTCTCAAATGCATCAATTCTAGGGTACCACAATGAGCAGTTTCAGGCAACCTGTACCACAAAGAAAAGGCAGGTGGCACAGGAAACAGCCAAACCACAAAAAAGGATCCGTGCTTTCCACTCTCATAGTATGTTCTAGCTGTGGATCACAATGTCCTTTTTAAATACCCTGCACTCCTCTCTTAGAAGTACATAGTAGAATATTCACCTAACAGATTGTGATACTGGAGCACAAGATTTAAGTGATTGATCAAGATCGCATGGCAAGCAATTGGTGGAGTTGAGAATGAAACCGGACCTCCTCGGTTCTTATTGCCTTGTTGTAACCATTAGACTACCCTTTTTCACACCAACCCCATGCTTATGATGATGTAGTCTTTAATTTAGCCATGACATTCTGCGTTAACACGTACAATCTGACTATAGCTTCCATACATTATGTTGCTATATATGCCCTGTCTCTTTAAAGATCCCTGTTGTATATAGGTTTGCTAAAGCATGAGTTTTAGATTAAGTCACTTATCTTGCAGCTGGATCTTAGGTGGATTGCTGCACCTGCAGACAGCACCAGCTGATTTCAAAGGGCCTCAATACCAATGCCAGGGCCTATCTTTGCAAAACTGAGGGCAGGATTGGTAATTTACTGCTTCAGTTCTCCTGCATCATTGGTTTTAATTAGGTTGATAACCTTAGACGAGCAGATTTAGCTTTTAGTTATAAACAAGGTCTTGATCAGATTCTCAACCGGGGCAATCACAGCACCTCGGGGTGCTGTGAGACCCTTTGAAGGGTGGTGTGAGGCATGAGGAGGTATGTCACCACCCAGCCTCCCTGAAGGGAGGTAAGCACTGTGATAATTAAATTAGTTTTTGAAGTGGGGTGCCACACAATTCACAAAGGCTAAGGAGGGGTGCCTGGAGTCAAAAAGTGTTGAAAACCACTGATCTAGAAACTTTTGCAAGTAGGATGAGAAAACTGTGCATCTTGGAAAGACATGTTGACAATACATGGTAATTTTTCTTTTAAAGGTCTGGCTATAATTGAAAATAGGTCTGTCATAAAAAAATATATCAACACAAATATGGAAATACAGGTAAACAGGTCACTAGAGAACTATGAATTATACTTATTATTAACATAAAATGCAGTATAGAATATTATATATCTCTTTTTATATAAACTACAGAAACATATCCAGATGCTGGTGGAGAATATCTGACCTGTTACCTGCAATCTTAAAATCACACTCAATGTCAGGCAAATAGATCTGAAGGGATTATACAATTCCTCGATCAAGCATCTTCCAATGAATGGACATACTGATGTGGAGTTCAGCTATGAACATGGATACAACCATTAAAAGGAATGAAAAATGTTTCTACAACTCGTATTTTAAAAAATATTCACAGAGTACTTTTACTTGCTTCTCTGTCTTCCAAAAGTGCAGTTCCATTTTGAAAAGTGACTGAAAACAGCACCTTTTCTCTCACAGATCGGCTCCCCTACATCATGGCTTTAGTGATTGAAGTGGGATCTTGCTACTTTCCACATCCATTAGGCCTCCAGAGCTAATACAGCTAAGACAGAATGATCTGGACTCTATTCCCTATGCATCATCAACACAGTTGCATAACTGGTTACGCCTGGGCAAGCTCACTAGAGGCCCAGGGTCTAACAAGGGCATAGTGGAGAGAACCACTATGATTTTCAGATTTCCAGTGCAGGGGCAAGAAAACTTTTTTATTTGAACCTGAACACAATGTGTTTTAAAATCACTATGAGCAAATGAAATTCCATGCTGGCATTTTCATGTGGTTATTTTCAGAGTAGAATGGCATTTAATTTAATGCAGTCAATTTAATGCTGCATCAGGTGCCAGGATGACATTATAGGAGACCAAAATCTGTCATTTAGCCCCATATATGGCAAGCAGACACAGTACAAGCTGCCTTCTACTTCCATTGTGCACATGCCTCACCCCAATACAGAAGAATCAAATCTGAGGGTTCAAGGTCTTCCAGTCTCCATGTCCCACCGTACCTCTGACCTAAGAGCAGCGCAGACCAAGACCATAGCTCATCTCACCTACCTGCAGGACGCCTGATGTTCTATTAGCGTTATACCACCCAGGTCTAATTCCACATCATAAATGAAGAGCTGTTAAAACCATATTTAAAAAAAAAATGCAAACCTGGTTTAAAATTTTTCAAACATTATTTTTTGATATTAACTTCTAATCCAAGACTTCTGGGTGGAGTTTTTTAAGCAAATTAGTTTGAATTGGTGAAATGATAAATAGTACATAGTTTCAATTAACAATTTAAATTAATTTTGTATCAGGTGTTTTTCCAGTATTTTCTAAACTAAAAATCTGGATTACAGCAATAAGAAAAGCATACTGGACAACACATTCTTACAATCAGTCGCATGTTTAATAAAGACCCTTTCTCTTTCCACCCTCAGAGCTGGGTGAAAAAACAACAATAGTGAATAAGAATTGGAACCCAAAGCCTAAATAGGCTCACATTCTTCTTTAAAATCCTTTAGTGAAACACATACAGAAATGGTCGAGAATATTGTGTACTTATTTTCAATTTTACAAGCTTTGGTATGCTGGAAGAATGAAAGAAACCCTCCATACTCTGTGTCTTTACTTCTAGTATTTGAATATTATTTGGAAGAAACAATACACAGTGATGGAACTCCAAAATGAATGTTGTAAACTGCTGACCTAGATTTGAAGTTCATACAGACTGTTGCATAACTGCGGTGTGTGTAAGATTAGTAAAAACAGATTCCTATCTACTACCTGATAGTTTCAGAAGATAGGCTGTCACCCGCTTCAAAGACTGGGACCAAAAAGTTTGTTTTTTTCTTTAAAAAAAATGAATCATAATATAGTACACCATGGTTAAGAGACTAAAAAGTGAGATGACTTCTTATTGTTAATTAAAACATAATCAGTATCCCAGTATAGACTCATCCCAAAGTATCTCCTCATCCGTTTTGCCATCAATTTGGGGCTTCTTTTTACCCTTTTTGTGTTTTCTGCTCTCCTTTTCAGTGGCTATTTCTTTAAGTCTTTTATCTTTACTGTGCTTTGACTTCTTCTCAATTGCTGAGTCTGTATCAACCTTCCTTTGCTTTTGCTTCTCACTTTCCTTTCCAGGATCAGTGTCTTCATTGTTTGCCTTCCTTTTCTGCTTTGTGGGCTCTTTCTCATGTTTCACTTCTTTTCCAAAGTGGTGTTCCTCCTTGTCTTGTTTCCTCTGAACCTTTTGTTCTTTCTTATGAGAGCTGGTGCTTGTATCAGAAGAGACGTGGTCATAGCAGTCACCCGATTCTTTTGATTCTGGGCCATAGCTGTCACCTCTGTAGGAAGTCACCTGAGATGATGTCATTTCCAAATAACGTTCCTTGCTGTAGTGACATGTAAGTGTGTTTTCTAGTCTTAGCCTAGTCTCATGAGCTGGCGACCAGCATGGCAGTCTGTTTTCAACAGCATTTGATGTCCACGTTTCTGAAAGAGGGCTGGAATACTCGTCTTGTTCAAACGTGACATCCAAAGGTACAGTGTCGTCATGGTAATTGTTTTCTTCAAATTCACTGGTCTTAAACTCATCTTCCTCTGTTTTTCTGAAATATGTTTTTGGTTCCAGGCCTCTTGCTTTCTGCACTTTGATGTAATCAGCTAATTCATCTTGAAAGGAGTCATATGTTTTCTTTGAATTCTTTATGAGATTGACAACCATGGTTTCTCTGCAAAAATTGGATATAAAGTCTGAGTTATTAAAACTGATTGGTTTTGATTTGAGCTACTGTAGAATGCCAGGTAAAATTCTAAACCAGAGAGATTTAAGAATGTGGTGTGCCACATAATGCATCTGGGTCAAATGAGTTAACTAGGCAAAGAAAACCAATTCTCGGAGAGAGGTTCACAAATGCATGACTCCAGTTTTACGTGTGGTTGACCCAGAGGTGGTCAGTGAAGTTACATTGGCATAGAATGGGCTGTCCACGTATAGGACTTCTGCAAGGGAGTGTTACCACCCAAAAGGAGGTGAACATTTTTGGTCAGAAGAATGTTTTTTACATGGAGAGCATCTCTTTAGCCAGTAGGATATAGCCACTTGATATAACAACCAGCAGGTAGGGACCATACAAATCTGCACTTCTTCCTTCTATTGTCATTCTCTAATATAAACTCCCACATGCAGTAAAGTAATGCAAACAGAGAGGTACATTAACAAAATACTTACTTAATCTGATGTTTATTTCCTTGCATGTGGGACTGGTACATTTCTATAGAGGTAAGGGTGATGTTACATATAGGACATATGTAGTTACCAACCCCGACTGCTGAAAGAACAGAGTTGCATATTAAAGAGGTTGTAAGCATCACCACCACACAAAAGACATCTTGTTCACTCCCATATGCAACAGACCTCATATAGAGATCATCACCCACAACTACACCTTTTTTTCCTTTAAACAGAGATGAGTGCTGTGAAGGTAAACCATGAAGCATACAGAGCAACACAGGCACTATTCAAACAGTAATGAGACTATTATTTATGTTAATTGACACTGATTATGATCTTCCCTTCTAAAATATTTCTAGAGTGCCCACTACTGTGGGCACTAATAGTTTTATTAAATACACAGTGTAGGTAATGTGTAAATATCTACTGTATAAACTGGTCCTGGATCTGAGTACAATGGGTACACATGACAGACCTGTGCTCTGACACATGCTAAGTAGCACGCTGGAACAGACTCAGTTAATCCAGTCTGGGGCAGGGTCAGAACAGCTGGATTGGGCTGAAGTAGGTTGAGCCCGTGGGCCAACACCACATGGGATCTAGGCTCCAGACCTACCTCAGGCCATCCATCTGGCCTGCAGGGTCAGAAGGTTGAGCGCCACAGGTATAACAGCCTTCAAATACAAAAAAGGGCTGGTATAAAGAGGATACAGACCAGCATTTCTCAATCTGTGGGTTGCGACCCAAAAGTGGATCGCATGAATATATGAAATGGTCTTGAACAAACTTTAAAAAGAGATTCTCCTTTAAAGGAGAAAACCGTGGGAAACTGGCTTTTCCCTTGTAGGCTGGCAGACTTCCACACCCCCCTTCCCACACACTCATGTCTTACCCCACAAACCAGGGGGCTGGGGTCTGGGGGTGGAGGGCAGCAGGTTGGGAGTGAAGGGCACTGGGTTGGGACTGGCCACTGATGTTTACAAGTGGGTCCTGGTACAGCAAAGGTTGAGAACTGCTGATATAGACTATAGTGTGTGTCCAGAGTGTAAAAGATAACAGAAACTTGGTTTGGGTAATATGAAGAACTTCAAAACTATGAGGGTGGTTAAATATTGGGACAGATGACCTAGAGGCACTGTAGAAGCTCTGTCACTGGAGGTTTTTAAGTGCCAGTCGCTTCACTGAAGACCCTGGAATAATTCTCCACTACTCACTTACCATTTGCACTGGATTCTGCAGGAAGAGCTTCATCCCCCAGGTCCTTCACCATTTTCTTCCGCAATTCATTCCTTTTGTGCTTCTTACCAACATAGTGCTGATGGGCCATCAGTGGGTTATTGAAGGGAGCTGAACAGAGCTTGCAATACTTGTCTGGATCATTTAAATCTGAAGTCGTACTGGAGGATGATGCAGACTCTTCAGTCTCTATGTCTTGTGAGGACTTCTCTGCTGAGGGCTGCTGGGGTGTTGGCAATGCAGAAGGACCAGTGGGTGGACTTGCTAATAACACAAGAAAGGAAAGTCTGGCACAGTTCTTTGGAATAATGCACACAGAAGCATTGAGCTATTCTAGCTGAAGGAAAGCAGCCCTCTGGCCAAGCTGTTAATAACCATGTGTGCACACTCTCCATGCAGCACTCAGCACTGCCACAAAGTATGTCCTGCCTACTTACTACCAACTCTGTGCATGCCAGCTCCCCCAGTTATGGCAACAGAATTGCCCCGAGTGCCCTTAAGCTGCACATTAGCTTCCTGTCTCTGGCATGCTTATGGGCATGCATTCATGGCTGCTCTATGCACTGCTTGTTATTGGGATTTGGTACACATGGAGAAGCAGCAAGTGAAGATGGTACAGATAAACCCAAAGAGTCTACATAATTCTGCAGTTTTCTCCAGAATCTTATGACCTTATTTCACCAGCATATTCCCTTCTCCTATCTCCTGCAGGTATATTGGATAGATGGTGTGAGAATAAGAAGGTTGCTTTAGAACTCACTCTTAGGACATAGGGCCAGTCTCAGTAACATGTTCCTGGATAGATTTTCTTAATTAGTATAATAGCTACTAAGGCTTGCAATCAATCCTCACACAACCCTACAGTACATCTTACTCCCATTTCACAAGTAGAGAAATGGAAATACAGAGACACTTGCCAAGGGCCCATCAATGTAAAAACAGGGACTTGTGGATCTCTAGCTCCAAACTTGTGCTAAAACAATGTCTTCGGCAAGGTGTTTGCCCCACTTCAGACTGCAAAAGCACTGAGAAGTAGTGATGGGAGGATACTTCATTTTAACTTTTTCAGGGAAGAATCAGGAATACACATGTATCAAAGCGGACATAAAGGTTATTTGGTTCTCACCAGTTTCTGGCTGGGTGCTCTGTGCTAGCATCTGAGCTTGGTCTCCTGCTAATTGCCTTAGCTTTTTGGCATGGATTTTCCCCACGTAATGAGACTGAGCAACAACTGGGGAAGTAAAAATCATATTGCAGAGACTGCAGTATTTGTTTTTATCCACTACTCCACTTCCATCCATCTGAAACCAAAGGCAGGTTCAGTTATCAGGCAAACAATGAGCAGTTTAATGTTCTCGATAGTGCTCTGAACAGACATCACCTGAAAGTTGATATAATCGGTCTTCTTCTGTTTTCCAGACTTTTGCCCCTCATCTTGCTCACCGTGTACTTGGAAATAAAGTCGAACTTTCTGAGCATGCTTTTTGCCCTGGAATGAGACTGGAATTATTCCTACTTCATTAGTGAGGACCCATGTGCTTTCTCATCCAGAAATTAGAATGGGCTTGAGCAGAAGTTGCTTTTGCACTTTCTGATTGTAGTCACACAGTGAGTGAACCACAGATGAACATATAACAGCTTGTGTAATAATATTTACTAAAAAATAATGCTAATACTTGATACTTCTATCCAACAGTTCATTCATGGATTTCACAGCAGTTGTTACAGTCACCAGTCCCCAGTATATTAAGGAAACAAGTATCCTTTCTGTCCTCTCACAGATGAAGGCAGGCTACATACACACCTCAGGTCGCAGAGCAAGTCCACTGTAGAACCAAGACTAGAACCCAGCTCCTCTGCCTCCCAGACTGGTGCATCCTGCCTCACAGTGTGGAGGATCAGCTGTTTCTACAGATTTTAAATTTGGGGTGATATCTCCTCACCACTTTTATGCCCACGTCCCTGCATTGCAGTAGTACATGTAGCTCCATGATACATTAGTCACCTACAAATTCAAAAGAAATTTGCCTCCTTTGAGCTGACACTATCCAAATGGCTTCAAAAGAACAACCTAGTCCATCCAACGTATGGGCCAGGAGAATCAAGAGGTCAGTTTCCCCACTGATGTCTCCCTAAGACTGTGGAGTCGGGGAGCCATTACAAGTGTTTGCAGCTATATCTGAGGTCAGATCCAGCAAAAAGAAACTTAAGCCTGATTTTTGTGGGATGTTAAATGTCTGATGTCAACTTTAGCTGAAGGAGTTAAGGAAAAGCTGAACCTTGCAGGACCAAGCTCTCCGTTACTACTAAAAGCCAAAAAATGGCACTTGCTTTGGCAGTTCTTTTAAAAACTATTTAACTTGGCCAGGATGAGAGTGAAGAGATCATAGTGTTTTGACTCAAACTGTGGGAAATGCTAGTGCCTGAAAAATCTCTATACATATACAGGACCAGGTTTAAAAATAAAAGTATATTGTCTGACATATGTGGCAATTGCTCAATATATTTATTAGTTCTGAGAAATACTTTCAATAGGATTTGCAGTTTGCTATATCATGTAAGATCGAATTAGGCTACTTGCATAATCCCTCAATTGTAGCATTGTATAAATGCTGTTAACTGAAGATATAGAACTGTAATAGTCACTGCATGCAAATAAAACCAACATTTATCAACGAGGGTAACTCTGGGTTATGTCACTATACAAAAAATAGGTGGCCATAATCTGTATAATCAGCACTGAATATAGCAATGTAATCAGTATCCTCTTACATGTATCTGCTGTGACCTACCACATAGTGTGAAATCCTTTGAGACTCAAATTGTAGCACAGCTCCACACACTTTACAGAAGGTGTCTGTAAAAAGATCTTTTCTTGTTGCCTCATCCAATGTGCCATCTAGAATCAGAGATCAGAAAGAGCAGCAGTCACAAATGAGAGCAGGAAGAAATTGCATTTCTTTATTCATAAAAAAAACAGCCATTGTTGAAGATCTACAGCCAGTACACGATGACACAACAAAGGTTCATTTCATACTGTATAAAGCAAGAAATCACAAGGCTCCCAGCTATTTTCAAAGGACTGCTGTGAAGCCATTTAAACCTTCTCACTCACAAAACTGCTGTTCTAACACACCTTCACAGCATTATTCATAGGAAGTTATAAACATAAGCGGACCTCTAAATACAAAGAGAGAAATTTTCATTTTGAGGTGCTTACATTCTAGTTCAGATAGTAGGACAAATCAAAAATAGTTGAAAAGAGGTGTGGACAGGGGCTTCAGCAGAGCGGATGTGATGGATAGGTCTGTACAGGATTGAGATCAGATGCAAGATCTGTGTGGGAAAGCTTGATAAAGGGAACTCACAGCAACAGAAAGGAATGAGACAGCTGGGAAGGAAATACAGTACTCCAGGTGTTAGAAAGGACCATTTGGGGAGAGAGTTGGTGGTTACGATTGCAAATGGTAAGGGAAAGAGTCTGCTTGATGAGACACTGTCTAGTAAGTGATGATTCACACAATGAATGTTGCAAACCCTTGGCTGAGCACTCATAGGACTCTGAATGCAAGCTCCTATGCTAGCACTGCAGAGAGGACTTCCCACCTAACCGCACAAGCAAAACCACCCCTTTGCAAGAAATCCTTCTATTACATGATCACAACTTTACTGGCAGCAGAATCAGGGCCAGATTAATGCACAGGCAAACTAGGCACATGCCTAGGGCTCTGAGCTGCTGGGGTGGGGGCCCGGTCCTTCCCTCTGCGGTGGTGGGGAATGACCCCGTCTACCTCCTTTCCCCTCTCCTCCACTGGCCTTGCCACCATGGTGGCTGCTTCCTAGCGGTGGCTCCAAGCCCTGCTCCCTGTGGGTGGCGGCGCTGGGGTGGGGAGCAGGGTCTTGACCGGCCTGGGGCCCACGTTTGTTTGCCTAGGGCCCACTAAAGGGTTAATCCAGCCCTGAGCGGTGTACACGTCAAATGACCCAGCACTCATCATGCCGCTGAAACGGGAGACTAGCTGGGACTTCAAGAGGGTGGGATACTGAAATGCAGCATTGCAAAACTGCTTGGTACGTTCTTTTCATTTAAGACCCAGGAGGGAAGCTTCTACCCCAAACTTTACATAATTGTACACCGGAGGGTTTGCAAATGCAGTTTTGATTGTATCCATGCACATGTACAACTCCGACTTGTGTGTGTCAATTGTGTGGCAGTTCAGTAGTGGGGTCCTTGAAAAACTTGGCTCTGACAGTCTACTGTGCCAGGTTCCTGCAATAAATGTGCAACAGCTGTCATGTTTAAGATGAGGGCTGCCAACAGTCATTGGCTCAAATGCCATTTCCTAATAAAAAAATATTTTATCCACTTTTTATGAGTTATAGGGGCCTGAGGCATAATCCTTCTGATGCTTCTTAGATCTACAGTGTGATCCCCACCAAGATTTTCAGTACTTTACCATTTTTGTTAATTTTGATGGAGATGAGAGATGCAGAAAGAATAAGCAACTTTTTCCAAGCCACAAAATAAATTCAATACCGAATGGGAAAAGTAGTCAAGATTTTATAACTCAGTTTTGGACCTTTAGTCCATTTTAAGTTTCTGAAAATGATGAAAGTTCGGGCTTCTTCGCAGAAGAGAAGTGGTGAAAAAGTTCCACTGGCCTGAATAAATGAACAAGAACACCGAACTGGGGGTATCCACACCAGAAAAATATAAAAGCAGCAAAAACCTCTTATAAAACAAAATGAACTGCAGTGTCACTGAATAGGGGAGAGAATATTACCATGTGCAATGTTTTTTCTATTGCAATTTCCAAAATTTCTTACTGGAAAATGTTTGTAATATTTCCTTGTCCTAATTTCCCTCTTTGAAATGATCTTTCCCATACTACCAGGGGAGAATAATTGTAAATAGACTTTCATGACTTTAGATGCACTTTGAGCAAATTTTCCTAGCAGAGGAAAAATCTATAAAATGTGCTAGAAAAAACTTCTCCAGCACACCTGAGTTTTAATTCTGAGTTCTAGGGCAAAAACATATTCTGGTGCTTAGCAGCACAGAATATGAATCTGATAATTTCAAAGGACTCACCTGAAACAATGAAAAGGACTGTGAAAATATATGTTTTATCATTGTAGTATAAGAAACAACCATTGATTTGCTATTTGAGGTTTATAGGAAATAGCAGGTTTCTTAAGTGACCTGTCCAACAAGAAGTCTATTGATAGCTCTCAAATGGATGAAGTGACATTCTGGAACCGATTTAGAGCGCTGGTACAGTCATTTTTACTGATTTTAATATGAAAAAAAGTATCTGGATACCTTTTGCTGCTTTGAAAAAGATCAGACCTAGTGCTCAAGCTGCACACTGCCTGAATACTGCAGATGCTGGCTTACAATGGATAATATTGATCTTATTTTATGTGACAATTCAAAGGGGAAAACAATTCTGGATAAAGTAGAATTCTGCAACCATCTTTTATTCTGGATTCCCAATTTTTCTATCATTTTAAAGCAAACCAACCAGGCAAGAAAGACTTACTTCTTTTATAGCAATAGGCAGGAACAGCGCGCACAGCCTAATGTCGCTAGAATGTCAAAAAAGGTTTGTCTTATTTTCTAAAATCCGTAACTGGGCATTTAAATTGCCTGATTTTTCAAGCGCCAAGTGCTCATTGGCTCCCACTGACCTCATTTGGTATATAAAAGCCGAAATATAACCTTAGCACTCTTGCTGGAGTTCCCAATATCCACCCAGAGTTTGAAGCAATTCTGTTATCTTGCAGAAGTTTGAATGAACTTATCGAACTCAGTGTCTCCATTACATTATTACGTTAGCTAGAGATGTGCTATGTAAGTGCTGCACAAAATTAAAGAGCATTATAAAAGAAAGTTAATTACAGCTTAAGATATCTGCAAGACGTCGTTTATGTGCACAAGACTATCAAACTTAAAACACTTGATTTTGAACTACTGGCCATTTCCCCTTTATAACTTCCATGGTTTTGTCAAACAATTGTACCTGAGACTGTCCCTTTATGCTCAAAGTGAAATGTAAGTGTGCAACTGCTATGCTTCTTTGTCCTAAAAGTCTTTATGGTGAGGAGTTTTGGAGAAAAATGCCTGCACATGATGTTCCTGCATGCATTTCCTTCTTGGTGCAGCCAGCATCTACCACCTACTTCCTCTCTTCCTTCGTGCCTACCAACTTTAATTTTACATTAAAAGCAAGATGGGGAGCCACAGAACAACACCTCCCCTCCGGTAATGGCCAGGTGCAATTCCCATAAGCGGCATTCTTCCCTATGCATGCATTTTATCAGGAAATGAGCAGAGTACTTTAAATCAAAGGTGTTGCTGGGGCTGGCCTATCTGCAATCATTCTTATTTGCGAATTAAAAATGAGAAATGAATGTTGGTCTAATGCCTTTCCCTCCCTAAGCAGATGAAGTACAGACAGCTAACTTTGGCTTCCAGTGCCTAGACCAACATGACTACAACAAAAAACCCTACAGCTAAGTGATGCTGCTTTCTCGATTAGCTCTACGCACGTGGCAAACAAAGACGTGAAATCATTAACATCTTTTAGACTCATAGAATTACAGGCTGGGAAGGGATCTTGAGAAGTCCAATCTCTGTACCAATGCAGTGTTTCATGATGCTGTTAAAATGCTGCCAACAGAAACTGATTAATCTTACTCAGTTTCTATTTACAGCACAACCCGTGTCACAAAGGGAATACCGATTTAGGGCATGTCTACACCTTAAAGCAAAGGTGTGATAGTAGCATGCCTACAAACACTTGTGATAGGTCTAGCCTGGGTACAAATAATAGTGAAGGTACACAGATGCTGGCTTCACCCTGTTTCAGCATCGAAATTAGTCCTTCCCACCAGGGACATTGGGCGAATACTCTGGTTACCATCATGAGATGAAGCCTGTGCCAACATGACTGCTGCTGTGGTTACTTGCACTAAGTATTTTAAAGCTGGTGTGGATTTTCTGGTGTGAACTCCGATGACACCTTCCTTTTGTTGTGCAGACGCACACAATAGGATTTGTCAGCTTCTGCTCATCATCAAGCTCAAAGGCTCAAAGGGACGGGCACACACGACTTGCCCCACTAAGTCAGATGAACAGTTTGTGTATTCTGGTAACCCATATCTAATAGCAGCCAAAACCTGACCCTTCATAAGAAACTTGCTAATGACCTTTTAAGAAATCACCTGTAATAGGAAATTTCTTTCTTATTCTATCACTTGCTCCATTATACTTCAAAGCCTGAAGATTTACTTCAGTGGCTTTTAATCTTTTGAGACTCGAGGCCCACCCCAAACTTTGTAACATGAGTGGCAGCCCGTTTAAAAACTAAATTACGTTCCCTACGTGCTTGCGTAGGGACAGGAAGCGGATGTGGAGGAGCTGCAAGATAGGGAGAGTCTGATAAGCCTTCTCTGTTCATCTCTTCACACCTGGAGATGGAGTGATAAGCCTTAACTGGTTATCTCCTTGCACTTCCTGCAAGCAAAGGCACTCTGGTTTAGGATCACTGGTTTACATGATTAGTAACAAAAACATGTTCAAGCTAATGGGAATTAAGCAGAAAATTTCAGTATGGGCAGATTACTCTGTTATTGCCTGCTGTGGGTTAATTTTTTATTGCAACTTCTTCTAAAACACCAAGTACTAGCCACTGCAAGCAGCAGTGAGCCACTGATTTGAACTGGCATTGCAGCTTTTGCATTCGCTTTCTTATAGCTTTTCTAATCCTTTTCTGAATCAGTAAGGCCACTGTGTTCAGCGATGTCTTGTAGTAATGACTTCTGCTGGTTGGTCAAGCATTGCATGAAAAAAATCCTTGTAGCAGTTTTAAATATTTCTTTTCCCTCGTTTCTTGCAAAAGCATAAATAGGACTTTTAGGCCCTGTGTACACCGTTCCCTCTCGGTTGCATCGCCTATGATATCTGTTCTCTCTTAGTGGTCTTTATGTTCTCTCTTTCTCCACAGATCCTTCCATGATTGTCCTACAGTCTCCAGACATGTGTGCCCCTCTAGTTTAGCTGTATTTTTTCTTGGGGTATGGACCGTAATCAACTTACCAAAGGAAAAAAAAAAAGGATGGACATTATCAGGTCTCAGCTGCTCTGTGGTAACTTCCCATGTGCATGCACTTACACCATGGCAAGTGGAAGGTAAACTGCCCCCACTTCATTAAGGGGTAAGCCACCACCATTTAGCTCCCATTGCCCATGGAAGTAATGCTAACTGGCACAGCGATGGGGGAATTCTCCATAGCGTTTTCTACTCTGCTCTTTACACAGTTTGATATTTGGGGTAACGCCACCATCAAGTATTCAAAAATCGTATGGTAGATTCCCCTCAAATTACATGATTTAAAAAAATGACAGATTTGGGGTTTGTATTACTTGCCTTGTTTCTTGAGTAGGGGCTGATGTTTTGGGGCAAAGTGCCAAAAACACCTGTGACCTCGACTTGTAAGATGGCACCCCAAGTGAGGAAGCCACGAGGGGCCCAATCCTTGTTGTGGCAGTGCAGCCCTCGTCCCTTCCCTGCCACCTGCCCTGAAGTGCATGTGCCACGCAAAATAGCCTTCGCGTGCCATGCTCTGGCACCAGTGCCAGGGGTTGCCTACCCCTGTTCTAGAGTCTTGAGAGCTTGTAATCTCCAGGTTTTTTCCCCACAGTTTGAAAGGTGGGAAACGTTCATTAAAAAAATAAATAAGCAAACGGAAATTTTCATCTAACAGAGTGACTCCAGGAGCTGAGGCTTTCAGAGGCATTAAATATCCTGAGTCTTGTGAGAAACAGCACAAGAATTTACAAAATGATATTTGTCTGCTTTTTAACAGAGGTTTTGTCCCTCTGATGGACCAGAGTTAATTTAGAATAAAAGTGTGTGCATGTATGTGTGTGTGTGCATGTGCACACATGTGTGCGCGTAATTCAAATGATTCTACCTTGCATTCCAATACCTTGCATTTGACAAAATACCCATTATTGGCATCTTGAATTGTGATCCTGAAAGAAACTGCACCGGTTATTTTTCCTTTGCAAACCGTAAAAATGTAAATCAGCAAGTAAAATTGCAACTGATTTCTTTTTGATGATGCACGTGACAGCTCGGCAAGTTGGTTTTGACCTTTGATTGGCAAACTGTCATGTACGCTTTGCAGCAATGCTGAAAAGAATGAGCATTTTGTAGGATTACGGCCAACTCAATGTAATTGTGTTATGTTTGGCACTTAGGTACGGCTTTGCCAAGATTGGGAACGAGGTTAAAGAATGGTCATGCTATGCAACATGAGCTAACTTACACCCAACTACTAGTTTGAGTGCAAGCGTGGAGGCAGACTCACAACTTTGGCAGGCTTACGTGTCCTGCTAAAGCAGGGGTGGGCAAAATGCGGCCCAGTAGTGCTAAAGGCACTACTTGTATCAGCATTATGATTACAATTTAACTCAGGTGTAGCCAGTTTACATTAGCAGGCACAATCCAAATCTTCCCCTTTTTTATCAACCAGAAAAGGCCCAAGTGGCCTTGTCTGCAAAGCTGCTGAGCACATGTGCCTCCTACTGAAGTTGGACATATCTGCAGAAGCCCAGCACTTCTGAAATGTCGAGCCACTTCCTTGAGACTTATTTTAGGATGCTCATCTGAAAACATCAGCCATAGGCATGTGGAATACAAATATTTTTTTACTTCTGCGTAGCTAAGATTTTAGCAGAACATTTGCCAAGTAACGTGCCCTACTAGTTGATGTTATGTGAACACAGAACCAATATTACAGAACCAAATTCAGGCTTCAAACAAACTCATGCAAAGTCTGACAAAGCCGAAACCACTGACAGATCACCGAAGCTCTACAGTATTACTTGTTCAATATCAAGCCCACTTCTCAGTATTCAAATGTGCACATTGCAAAACCCCAGTACTCTGCGCCACTTCCTCTGAATTTGCAGCAGAGGTCAAGAACCAGTCTGCGCCCCACTTCCTTTCAGCAATCCCAAATGTTACCGACTACTTGCACTGACTCTACCCCGAACCTGAGGGCTTCATTCATCCTTGACAAGACAATATAGCACCGGTATATAAGACAATAATTC